TTCTTTTCTTATCACTTCTCTGTCCTCTTCGCTGTGCTTCAGCTTTTTGTCGATCTGATTCAGTTTCGCCATCAAGTCACCTAGCTCAAGAGTAGCCTCTTCATGGTCAGCCGTCGGTTTTTCTTCGGCCGTCGCTTCTGCTCTAGTTTGCCCCTCTCTCGGATTGGCTTCTGTCGTCTTCGTGCTCACTGTTCCAAATGTTCGTGCTCTTTCAGCTTTTGGTTCTTCAGTTACGTTCTCTTTCGTTTTTATTCCGACCATCATCGCCAACCTTTCTGTAAAAGATGTCTTTTTTACTTGAGAGTCTTCTTTCACCGTTTCTTCGGTGTTGCCTATTGCATCTTCCACGTTGTCTATTGGTGAGAATTCTATGGGTTTCGAGTTTGGTTCTTCTGCATTGGGCATTGGAGTTGACTCCGTCGCTATTTTCCTTGTTTCATCAACACTTTGATCAGGTGTCTCTAGATCAATCTCGATGGTGGGTTCTACTCGTTCCCCTTCCATGCCCTCTCTTGCTCTGTTCTCCGCTGTACTCCTTGTGCTGACCATGTTAACTGAAAAGTTCTTCTTTGTTATCTTTGGGCCCATTGATGTTGTTTTGCGTAGCGACGAATTATACTTTGCTTCGGTAGGTCTTTTTTCAGCTACCGGTACCCTGCTCCGCCTCATTATTTCTATTTACAATTGCTTTTATTTACAATTTTACTATATACACAATCCTATTCTAAGAATAAAATCTTTCGGGAAGGAAGAAAAAAAATATACAACGTGGTGAAAACCTTGTTTCAGTTCTCTTTATTAACTTTTCGAGAAACTTTCCTTATTTGTGGTCTCAACCGTACCTGGTTCCAATTAGTCTTGTTCTATCTTAATTCTGTCTTAAAACACTTCTAGTAATTTTACTTCAATTTTTTACACTGTCCCAAGACTTCCAATTGCCGTCCCTACTCTTCTTTGTACCGTCCCAGGCTTCTTTCTCCTGTCCCAAGACTGTTCGGTACCGTCCCAGTACTTTCCGGCCGTGTCCCAAGACTCTTGTCCAAGACTACTGTCCCAAGGCTAGTGTCCCAAGACTACTGTCCCAAGACTACTGTCCCAAGATTAGTGTCCCAAGACTAGTGTCCCAAGACTACTGTCCCAAGACTACTGTCCCAAGACTAGTGTCCCAAGACCCTGTCCCAAGACCCTGTCCCTAGACCCTGTCCCAAGACCCTTGTCCCAAGACCTTGTCCCAAGACCTTGTCCCAAGACCCCGTCCCAAGACCTTGTCCCAAGACCTTGTCCCAAGACCCTGTCCCAAGACCTTGTCCCAAGACCCTGTCCCAAGACCCTTGTCCCAAGACCTTGTCCCAAGACCCCGTCCCAAGACCTTGTCCCAAGACCCTGTCCCAAGACCCTGTCCCAAGACCCTTGTCCCAAGACCTTGTCCCAAGACCTTGTCCCAAGACCCTGTCCCAAGACCCTTGTCCCAAGACCCTGTCCCAAGACCCTGTCCCAAGACCACTGTCCCAAGACTGTACTGTCCCAAGACTGTCCCCAGACTGCTCTGTCCTAAGACTTCTTCGGCACTGTCCCAAGACTGTTGACAAGTGTCTGGGTGGTGGGACTTCTTCCCTCTTCGTTATGGGGACTTCTTGATTCGCCGTACCTTGTACCACCACTCAAGCTCTAGTAAAATTTTCCCAAAATCCTCTCTTAAAAACCAAATGCTGACCCCCCTTTTTCTTATTTCTCTTTTTGGCTACCTCTATTTCAATGTTCCAAGTAACTTGAGACCAAAACCTGTGCGCAGGTATCTTGTGATCACCTGTTCGTACAAAATTTTAACACAAATCCTCACCAAAATGCAACAAAAATCTAAGCAAGAAAAAGTAATAAAAACAGAAAGATGAGCCCACCTAAAATTCAAAGGTGACAAATGTCTACCTTCTATTGAAAAAAAATGTCTTGTACCTAATTGCCACGCGTTTCCTTCCCCCCTGCTAGCGATCTTATGGGGTATTACAAAAACTGTCTATGTCCCTTCCCCCCTACCAATCCGACCAGGGTACCTTCCTTAACTCGAGTTCAAATTTCGATATCCACCTAATATTACCAACGCGTGTTAATTTCTAATGTAACTAAGTCAACGATGTCGACTAATTAGTTACTCTAATTTCCCCCTTTTTACAATTTACAACCGCCAACCTCTAACTTAACCAGCCCCCCTTCTAACCTCCCCCCTTTTTAGCCCCCCTTCTTAAGCCTAAAATTACCTTAAGCGCCGGGTGCTAAACCTCTCAAGAGAAAACCGTAGACCTGTCTCCAGGCCTGCTCAAGTAAAAACGTTCCTCAAAACCGGGGGATGTCGCTTATCCTATTTTACACTTATCTCCTATAATGTAATGTGGATTTTAACGATACCCGTTCTGCCCAACTTGAGAACTCGAGAATTGCCAAATCCTTCTTGGCCGCTTTCCCACTCGACTGGTCACCTGTTCCAGTCCAGTCTCCTATTGGTTCAGCTCAAGTGTCCCTGAACCACTTTCCCACTCGGCTGGTCACCTCTTCCAGTCAAGTCTCCTATTGGTTCAGCTCAAGTGTCCCTGAACCACTTTCCCACTCGGCTGGTCACCTCTTCCAGTCAAGTCTCCTATTGGTCCAGCTAAGTTCCAAGCTATCTGAAAACCCTTGACAACGCCCCACTTCGGGCACTTTATTCAGTTTACTGGTTTAAATTGCTAGGTTGATCGAAACGATCGAACTTGTAAAACAGTATGGGTATACTATTTAATTAATATAAAGGTTTGATCCAACTAATCTGGTGTCAAAGTCACTGTCTTTTTTCGTTTTATGGTTTTTGTTCCTTTTTCTATTCTTTTTTGGTTTTTGTTTTGCTTTTTGTCTTTTTGCTCGTGTTTTTGTCCCCCTAGTTGCCCCCCTTTACTCGGTTAGCTAAGCCTCGTTCGGAGAGCGTACCAGGAAATTTTCTCGAGTTTTCTTAAAAAGCTATCACGGTACAACCGGAAGGTTTGCACGTTCCTGTCGAACCGTACCGCCGGTACTCTAGAATGGGCATTCAGCCCGAAGCTGTCTCAAGTGGGTTCGACTCCGTAGTCTTGATGTCGTAAACACCCAGGAGCGCCATAAAAACACTATGTAACATTCGTCTACTGCAGTCACACATGAGGCTTAAGAAAAATAGGCCCTATAACCACTGGCTCAAGGGTCAGGGACACCATCTCTTGTGTTTTTCTACCTCAAGAACGGTCGGAGCCAGTTCGGTTCGTTTGTGACATGAGACTATGACCCGTTACAGCTTAAAGGCTACTACTAAAATATCCCCCCACTCTAGAATTAGAAACGTCCCCATACTTAGGTCTCTAGATACCCAAAATACATGAACGCCGTTAAAAACCGGGTTGGAACAATCCGTTAAGTTACTTTTTATTAGACAGTGTAACTTTGATCCATTTCAGATGGATCAACCTAAAACTCGCCTTACCTCAACATAACAATTATAAAACACACTCTAGGAATTTAAATTAGGTACTCACATCGTAGCACGCTCAAGAAAGGGAAGTACTTCAGTCGGTAATCAACTCGAGAATTAATAAAGTAACTAAAATGAGTTTAATGTTAGTCAGTTTTAATAACAAGAACAAGTTTTTTCTCTAGACTGTAAGTTCTCGTGAACCATTGGGACACTCTAGCTGTCCACCTTTCCACCGAAGGTTCACTCTGGTCCAGTTAATAATAGTACTCCAATCACAACAATCCAGTTCGTGGGAATGCTCTCGTCTCTGTTTTAGATGGGACAGCTCTACTCTTGTTCTATTGTGACAGAAATTGCGAATAGCAATTTCCCACCGTTTTATTTAGCAACTTTCCCGCGATTGTTACTCGATTGTTCTGACTTCTCTTTTTCTGATTTTCAGTTATCGCGAGAAAATCGTGCATGACAGGTTCCATTCGAAATTTTGAAAAACTAAATTTCACTCCAAAATTAAGTGTTTTTTTTCTTCTCTCAAGGTCAAACTTCCGAATATGACCGACTGGCACACATCTTCGATGAGATGATGATTTTTATCTACTGAACAAAAACAGTAATAACTCAATAAGTAGTAGTAGCCCTGTTTTTAGGAGTGACCTCGTGGTCTGGGGATACTGAGACCCAGCCATGAGCTCACTATTTCTGCTCACAAATCTAGTTAATTTGAGTGTTTTGACTGAAGCCGAAAGCAGTAACGATTTTGTCGACCCGATGTTAGAAAGACCACCGAAAGTACTGCCTTGGTAGAGACGGTTAAAAGCATGTAAAACTCTGTTTAGACGCTGGCCATTCGTCTTAGGACTTAGTTTTATTTTCCGTCGATATGTATCTTCCGGGTAAATGTTACAAAACGTTCAAGTCAAACTAGAAAGAGCGAGAGGCGCAGTACAGAGGGTTGTAGATGAGAAGTTTTGGCCTTCGGTAATTAAAAATTTAAGTCTTAGGGGACAAAGACAACCAACAACAGCCAAAGAGACCCATCAGAAGAAGCTTATGAAACTATCAGAAAGGCAAGATCGACCTCTAGGGAAGCAAGGTGAGGGTTCGGTAAGAGCTCTTGATGATGTGGAACTACCAAATTGGGTACAACAAGTGTTGGCATTAGGGCCTAAACATCCAGTCAGGGATAAATTTAATGAGACACACTTTCTCGCCGACATTGACATCTATCTATCGGATCTCAAAAATCGTAAAGTCCCCGGGGAGGCCCTTTGTGAGATCGAAGCTGTGGCAAAAGCCGATGCTAAAAGGGTGAAACAAACACCATCTGACAAAGGCGTTGAGACGAAACGAAAAAATCTGAAGAGTAATGGATTAGTTGCGGTACCGTATGACACAGGCATGGGTTTTTGTGTAATGAGGAAGGACACCTACGAGAACAAGTTGTCGGATACATTAGATTCAAATCAATTCAGCAAGAGTAAGGGAACAAGTGATGCGATTGTTTTGAAGATAGAAAGAGACATCAATGAGGAAAAAAGACGAAATAAGTGGGGTGCAGCCCGCCAGGCTTTATGGGTTGGCGAAAGTGGATAAAGTGAATACCCCATTAAGACCGGTCCTCTCCTTGCTCGGTAGCTCTTATTATAACTTGAACAAGGTTCATGCAAAATTTTTTGAGAAAGTTGAGGGCGCAAACATCGAAACCAACTCACTAGATGCGAGAGAAATCTTGGAGAGCACTAATCTTGAGCCCAATGAAAGTTTGATATCTCTAGATGTGATGAGTTTGTATACAAACGTTCCACTGAAAGAAGCAATAGACATAGCTCTGAGAAAACTGTATGAGCAAGATGAACCACCATCAAATGCTAGGAAGACCACGAAGAGATTGTTGAACATGGCAGTTAGTCAAGTCCCTTTCAAATGCAATGAAACATGGTACGTTCAGAAAGATGGTTTGGCAATGGGGGCATCTCTTGCGGTTATTTTAGCGAATCTTTGGCTGAAGCAGTACGAAACTGCACTATCGAGGGATATTCCCGAAATGCAGTTTGAACTGGTTTCACGTAAAATGCGGTAATATATCAGATGATGAGTATAAAAATATAAGTGAAACCGTCTGGTACTGTAGTAAATCCATCGCAATAAGAGAGAAAAACAAGTCAGTGCAGCAAGCTAAGTTATTACTCCGTTACGTAGACGATATAGTGAGAACAGTGAAGGGTGATCCTGAAAAAGTGCTACGGGCTGCAAACTTACTACATCCAAATTTACAGTTCACAATAGAAACACCAAACACAAACGGAAAATTGGAATTTTTGGATTTAGAAATAAGTATTGACAAAAGCCGGAAAATTAGCTGTGGGTGGTATCAAAAACCAACAGATACAGGTACCATACTAAATTTTAGAACTGCGCCCCCATTTAGTACAAGAGAAGCGTGATTGAAGGAACTGTTCACCGGGTTTTCCGCAGTACGTCAAGATGGGAAGAATATGATAAAGCAATGAGAATCAACCGTGAGAAGTAGTTGGATAATCTTTATCCGGAAAGTTGGTCGTCGCGGGTTGCATCCCATGCCCTTGAAAAGATCATCAGAGAGTGCAAAACAAAAAGAACTTGGCTGAGAAAAAGAAGCCCTGTGATTATAGCAGAGATTCACCACCCATCTTGATGGTCCAATATAGGTAGAATCACAGTCAGACATTAGCAAAAAAAGTGCGCGATATCACCAATGCGCTGATAATATTCACGACGAGGAAGATGAAAACTTGTATGACCTCTCTAAAATCCTCCTTTTCCAGTGAACTGAAATCAAAAGTGGTGTACAGACTTGAATGTTGTGATTGCAAATCCATCTATGTTGGCCAGACGGTCCGACATCTCAACACAAGGATTGAGGAACACCGAAAAGAGGATACCCCAGTTGGACAGCATATAAGGCAGTGTGGTAGTGAGAGTGGTAAGTCGGAGTTTAAATGGAAAATAATCGACCAGGCTTCCAGCAGCATCAAGTTACTTACACTTGAGGCGCTGCACATTAGCAAAGAAAGACCGGTAATTAACACGCGCGACGAGTTTAGAATTAGGGAGCTGACACTAAGGCTATGGTTCCAGAATCGAAAAATTCTGGCTAAAACAAAAAATTAAGGATATCTCAAAGAAAAAAAAAACAGATTGTGCACTCTGTCAGTTCGCTATCTTTTTTCGAAAACAAGATTGGCTCTTTTCCAGTTTCCCCCCTTTCAAATTCAATTTTGAAAAACCTGTTTAACGTTTTCACAATGCAATGAAATTTGGCGTGGTGAACAAATCGACAATTCTGAACAGATTTGTTCTTCATACTTAACAACGTAACATCAGGCATTAAGCCGTAATAACACGTAAAACAAAAATAAAACTCGTTATTTTGAAAGGGGATAACTGGAAAAGAGCCACAAGATTAATTATTTTAATCTCAATTTCTAGGTATCATCAGATTGTGCCATTCTGCCAGATTGGCACAGCCTAACCTTCCGGCACAACACGAAAGTAGAATTAGAGGCCTTAGTGATTGAAAATTGTTGCATAGGAGGGTCAGAATATTTGAGAAGTTTTAATTTTCAAAAACTCGAATACCTTTCTGAGAAATGCGAAAACGGCCGTTTTGGGCCGAAAAGTGACGAAAAACAGAACAACAACCAAAGTAGCGAAAGTTGGAAGAAAACGTAAGAAAAACGAAGCTTCTTATCGTGACTATCACGCGCGATAAGACATCTAATTAGAAACGACAGACGGAAAGGAGGCTTCAGTGGGGAAGGTGTAAGGAGTAGTACCCTCCCGTGCCACGAATTGAGAGTAATAACAACGTTATCACAGACAAATCACGGAAGCGGAGGCTCGGCCTCTTAGAGACAGTATATGGTTAAGGACCATAAAGAACTGACTTTTTAGCTACTCTGATGCCATAAACATTTGAATTAACAACGGTATTAGTCGATATTTTAGAATGAGTAGCTAGAAAGAGGAAAAGGTCAACCCATCTCCAGTGGATTTAATATAGAACTGTCACCAAAAACATAATAAAATAGGATATCCGAGCCGTGCTTTTAATAGCAATCACGCAGTCTGAGGATCCGAGACCCAGCTATGTGGTTGTGTTCGCATGTAAACGGAAGCTGATTAAAAGTAGTTTGACTGATGGCCTGAAAGTAGTAACTTTTTACTTAGCCCTAGACAGACCAGAAAATCAACTGGCTAGGTCGAGACAGTGAAAAACGAGTAGAAATTAGGTAGTTGGCGCTGGCCAGACGTTTTTAGGTACTTTTTCTACGCTCCGTCACTGTATAGTATTTGGGCAAACGTTACATAAAAGTTTTTATGGCGCTCCTGGGTGGGCCTGTCAAAGGCAAAAGACCATCATGATCAGCAAACGTTTCAGCGACGAACCCTCCGCTCCGGGCGTATGCCCAAGTTAGAGGCCTTAATGACCAAACCGAGTAACCAAAGCGAAACATGAGCGAACCGAGTAACTAAACATTGATGCAGATAGACGTTTTTGCAGAGTACTTGCGATCAATAAAATTTACCACGCCATCAAATGCGATAAGAGCACCACCGAAATTAGGAGGAGCAAATGCGATAAGAGTGAACGGGAAGTGCACGGATGCTTATGGGCCATAGGAGGTCATGCTGAACATTGATATCATCAGCATCTCCGGGAAATCAATGATCACCTGCGACGAGGATCTAGCCGATTAAATCTTCGTGGTAATGGAAGAATTGAAGGTAAGGGCTATTGGATATTGCGCGATACCAGTGGAGGATTTCATGCTTCTAAACAAACGTCTGGGACCATGTACTAGACACTTATTGAAAAATGATCGGAAATGAGATTCAGCACCGAGGACCTAATTGACTCGAGGACCTAATCGAAGATGGGAGACTAAAAATTTTCAGATGAGCCTCTTGGTCATCGAGAAGTAAGATGAATCAGACCGATTCATCCTTCAAAAAGACCTAATAAGGAGTTTCAACATAATCTTTGACCTCAAAAAGCAACGTTCAGGGTTTGCCACCCAGAAAGAAAGTACGCAATTAAACCGATAAACTTGAAATGACACAAGGGTGCAGACCGCAGGTGTTTTTGAGTAGGAGAGTAGGGTTAAAAGCGAAAGAAGCGGTTTAAGTAAGCCTGAGAATGAAAATTTTTAATGATTTGAAGCAAGTATGCGTAGTGTCAAATCCACATAGTCAAATTGTTGCTATTTTCAGAAAATCTTCTTCCTCAATCAAAAGGGGGCCCGTGCCTGAGCGTGTAGTTGAAAACTCTTGACATTCCAATCACAATCGAAAGAGGGAGGAAACTTGGATGTGCATTGCCAAAAAAAGCTAACTATCAATTGAAAACCTTTAAAATCATTAAGTTCTTGATTGTCCAAATAATTCAGGGGAAATTTGTTTTTTTTAAACAGATCAAATGGAGAAAAAACGTTACGAATGATGGTTTCACTTGAGTCAGAGACTCAGAGACAGATGGTGGACTCTCGAGTTGCTCGAACGTTCTAGAAAGACCCACAACATAAGAATTAGACAAGGGCATACCAGTATTATATGAAGTGGAACTGGAAAATTATGGAACAGCAGCTAAAAACCATCCAGGACGTAATCGTTCCTAATCAGAATGTTTTATCGAGGCATAAGGCCAAAATTGGGTGTTGTAATTTTATCGAACATGAAATAGAACGGCATGCGAGGCAAATTATCCCACAAAAACCCGATGCAAGTAGAGAAGAAGTAAAAACGTTTTTTTGACGCGATACGGTGGAACCATCCAAGTCACTTTTGGCGTGTGGAGTAGTGATGGATGAAAAGAAATTGGATCACCTAAACTCTGTTGTGACTTTCGATTTCTGCACTCCGTCATGTGAATGGATGCCTATCCAATTCCAAGAATGGATGAGAGTTTTCAAGATTGAGGATGCAAAATTTTTCAAGACTCCCTAAATAGGATCATCATTCTGGCAGGTATCACTTGGTCACCGAGAACAGAACATCAATTGATGAGTTTCCTTGGCTTCGTAAGCTACTGCAGGGATTGTTTTGAGTGACTAGGTAAATCCAATGCAACAACTAATGCGGAGGAAGCCTCATAGAGAATGAAGATTAATTTCTGCGAAGGTCCAATACAGGGCATGCCGACTGACAACGGCATGTAGGTAATAAACACTGATGCATCAGCTGTAGCAAAATCAATCATACTTCAGCAAGAGTAGACAAGGAACGGGAGAACTGTTTTGAGTCCTATGACATGTGGCAGAAAGGTCGTAAATGACATAGAATAAAGCGCAAACGTTCGCACCTGTTACTTTTGCAGAGAAACAGCGTACACACTTAAAATACAACATGATCAACGAGCACAAAACTCTGGACAAACATCAAAATGCCGACAGTGGTTTTCGAATCCTCGCCTTCGCCCTAATAGCCGAGGTCCTAGAAGAGGAAGCGGGAGGCAGTAGAAAACTGCTCGGTTCCGGAAGCAGTTTCAGTGTAGAACATGAAAGATGTTTCCCCAATTATACTGGCTCGATGAAAAACCTCAGGATATAGGGGAAACTCTACTTCAAGAAAACCGATGGCGAGGATCAAGTGAGCATCAACGGATTTGAACACAGAAAAGTGAATATCGACTGGATAAGAATCTAACAAGAAATACAGTCCTTTCATGGTCTGGGCACGATAAAAGAACTGGAGTGTTGTCTGAAAAAGGGCACTGCAAGGAAAGGGATGAGATGAACAACGCAACAGAAATCAAATACAAACAAGCTAGAGTAGAGGAGTCAGTTTGGCAGAACTCGGGAGAAACTGCTGCAGGAGTTTTTCGAAAAAGAAAGCAAGCTTCTGTTTCCGCTAGATTCTTGATGGCAAATCCCTTTGTCACGACTGAGGGACAATTTGTTTTTTGCATGGTGCCTAGAGCAACTCTAGAGGGCCTCAAAACACACAAAAAAGTCAGATTGGGGAGAGACAAGGCCCTTGACATCTTTCTTGAGATGAATATTATCCATGTTTCCCGAACCGGTAATAATCACATGGCATCAT